CTCACACATGTCGCAGCACTGTGGCTGCAGCAGTGGGCTCACACTTAGCAACCCTTGTGAGGGTGGTTTACAGTGGATTAGAAATCTGATAAAGCAACAGAACCACTGTTGTAACATAGCCCCGTCTCATCCGCCAGTGCCAGGGGGCTTCACAGGTTTCTTTTCTCTCCGCTCCATTTGTCTGTGAACTTTCTGACACCCCCTCACACATGCCAATGAACTGAGAGAAGGCAGGAGTCCCTGGAGGGGTACTGGCTTTCTCTTTCCGACTGGCTGAGCTCACAGGCCAGTCTGCACAAGCTGGGCATGCTGGGGCCAGAAGAGCAAAGGCCAGCACCCACCGAGGGTGCTGGGCCCTGTAGCAAAGACCCTCATTAAATCTGGGACCCTGGGGGTGGAGAGGTGTCTGTGTTAGGCAGGGTTCTCTGGAGAAACAAATCCAGGACACTTAGGATTCTATATATATATAAGGATAGGTTGATGCAGCGAGAATGAATATAACAGCTAATTAGTCCACACCGCCGTCCAGAGGGCTCAGTTCAACTCACTTTCGTGGAACAGTTAATACACTGGAAGCCCTTCAGCTCATGAGGGGGTTTTGGTCCAAGATCAAGGACGCAGACAGCAGAGTCCTCCCTCAGGTGAGACAGACAGAGTCTGCTCTCAGGCAGCAGGCAGGTCAGCCACAGTCAGGAGCTCAGGAGCTTAGCAAAGCAACCCTGGTGGGATATCAAACACAAGCAATGCAAGGTGACAGGATCCACCAGCCTCACGCCCAAGCAATGTGGGCACCAGCAGCGTGGCGACGCAGGTCTCGAAGGACCACAAGCTCTAGCGACATGATGCAGGATCCATGGGTGGGCTTGGCCCACAGGTGGTGCAGCTCACAGACTGAGGAAGAGAACTAGCCAGCGGGCCTGACCACCAGAGAGCAAGCGAGAGGGGGGCGGGCCTTGCAGAGCCATTTATCTCGTTGGTCCTCCAATCGAGCTGCGATCTGATTAAGCTCCGCCCACACGCTCCTATTGGCCAGGTTGGCACACTGAACCTATCACAGGAGGGCTCACCCTCGGGATAAATCACACACCACCACCAAGCGATGCCAAGGAGAGTTTGTTTCTTGTTCCACACTGACAGCGCGTGGGAAGCAGACTCGGGGCTCCCCAGGGAGAAAGATGAGGACCAGTGGGTGCTTCCTGACGCTCTGCCTGGGGTCGCTGTGGGCTGTACCCCACCAAACAGCACCCAACACAGCAACGGTGCACGCTCCAGGCTAACGCCAGCACCCCTTTGGAGGGCTCTGGGGAGCCAGACCGCAGGTGGCCCCCCACGTTGCCGTCTTCGCCCCAGGAATAGGCAGACACTTTCTTGGGAGGTGCCAGCCGGGCCCACAGAAACTGCTGTGGACCATCACCCCCACCAGTCTGAGCTGAGTGCAGACCCACCGGGCCAGGGCTGTGGGCTCAAGGGGACCCTGCCCTGCCCTGTCCGTGGGCTCACTCCTGGGCTGACCATCCCTGCCCCTGGAGGGACCGGGCTCAGGTACAGTGCTCACAGGAGGCCCCTGGGACAGTACTTCCCACAAAGGCTCAGCTGCCTCTCTCTGCCCACTGTGTGGTCAGGGTCAGAACATAGGAGGTCAGCCCGGCCAACCTGTGTTTACCTCCTCATCTGTCATGAATGACCTCACATGTCCCCAGAATATCAAAGACTGCTTCGCAGTGTGGCCAGCAGCTGCTCGCCCCCAGCCTCCAGCCCCTTCCCGCAGAATCCCAATCTCTACACTTGTACACCCTGGCATGGACTGAGGGCCCAGTAAGCGTGGTCTCCTTGTGCTTACTTATCCATCTGTAGTGGGAACAATCTCACTTCAGATGAGCCAGTAAACACTAGGAATTCAGGGCTTACCTTGCTTACTGGTCCTTCACTCCTGGTGGTGGGGTGGTGGGGCACAGAGCCCCCAGTCCGGGAGGCCGCCAGACCTCCAGCCTGAGATGGTTCTGTCCGTCCTCCCACCTTTTGAGAACTGCAAGGTTCCAGAGTCCCTAGCTCCTCGGTCTCCAGGAGGGTCCTGTACCTTCAGCCCTGGAGGAACAGAGAGAGTGAAAAACAGAGGCAGAGTCCAGCCCGGGGCTGCAGGCGAAGGCCTGAGACCCCCTCGGAGGGCGGAGGGAGTAGCTGGAATCTGCAGTCTCTGAGCACACGTGCCATGAACTGGGTCCAAGGGGGCCAGGACTTCTTGAGAGAACTCTGGGGGCCTGGGCATCCCCCGCCCCAGATGGTGGTGGGAGGGGCCTTGGTGGGCATGGGGATCTTAGACCCAGGCTCTGCCCTTCCCTCCAAACCGGGGCTTCAAGCTGGTTCTTTTCTGGTGGTGGTAGTCCGGGTAGACGAGAGAAACATCCATAGAAACTCATGTGTGTAAGAGAGCTTTATATAAAAGGTAAGTGTGCATTAAGAAAACACCCCAACCCAGTGCTGCCCAAGCCCATAAGTATATTAGCCCATGTGTCTGATACCAATCTATAAAGTCCTCTTCAGACACACGAAACACATGCAATGATGCTGAATGCAGGAAGATCACAGGCCAGTGGGTGGAAAGTCTTTGGATCCAGTGGCAGTAGAAGCATCTCAGCACTGGCAGGGGTCTCCACGTGGCTCCTCCAGTTCCCGGGCACAGGGTCTATCAGCCTAGTGCCATGTGCCTTGTCAGTAGAGAGTCTCCAAGGGAGTGAGCCGAGAGACAGTGTGTCTCCTGTCTCCAAGGAGGAAATCCAGGAGTCCCCAGAATCCTCAGGAGAAGGCCACGCCCACATAGAGGCCTCATTGGTCATATCTTGATTGACAGGCCAGACTCCACCCCTTCACTCATAATCCTCTCAAATGGACACCAGATGATGTAACTACCACACTGGCTTGAAACCTGAGAGCTAATCGCCCAGATAGGAAGTCTCCTGAGCCCTGGTGGGCCAGCACTGAGCTGCTGTGTAAGGTCCGTGGCTCCCAGACGGAGTGTCTGTCCCTGGAATGGTTCAGTCTTGGGCTACTATAAGCTGGGCATCAACTCAGAGGTAGTGGGTTTGGATTGGGATTCGAACCCAAGAACTCCTGTCTACCAGACAGGAGTAGTCACCAACCAGGTCAAGGTGTCAACAGTGCTAACGTCCCCCGGAAGACTAAGGGGCACCTGGCCCAAGCCTCGGTCCTCACTGCCCCTCCTGCGCTGGACGGTGTCGGAGGAGGGCTGGAGAATGGATGTTTGGATGATGGCGGCGTGAGGAACACGGAATGAGCGGACCAGTCAGTCTCTGAGGGAGCACAGCCAGGGTGATCCTCGGGAGCAGTGGGGGGATGGGGGGGGGTGTGCTGCTGCTGGGTCAGCCCTGCAAAAGGAAACACCGCTATGGGACCCCCACCACCCACCGTGCCACCTGAGGGCTGGACCCCCAGCCTGGCTTCAGACCATGTCCCAGGGCTCCCTGCAGCCTTTCTCTGGCCATGAGAGGTCGGGCGCCAGAGCCTCTGTTGTCTGCGTCTGGAAGCTCCGCTGAAGACCCCACATGGGGACATTTGGGAGATCGGCCCAGGACCAGGCAGTGTTTCCACTGTTGGACGGGTGGGAGACACACACACACACACACACACACACACACACACACACACACACGCTGTGAGCCAGAACCGACTGGATGGCACCAAACAGCCACATGGGGACCCTGCTGGTGTCCAGAGTCCTGGGGCACAGACCCCCAGCATCCAAGCCGCCCAGTGGCCAGCTCTGCGGCGGAGGGTGGGCTAACTGCTCGGCAGCGGGGGCTGTTAGGTGCCACAGGACAGAACCATGTGCTTGTGCCTGAACTCCTCGCTGCGGCCACTATGTCCATCCCCTCTTGAGAGTCCTCCTCTTTCCTGATGTCCTCCTGCTTGGACCACGCAACCTGGTTGGCTCTCTGGGCGGGGGCATTCTGCCCTATGACACCATGGGGGCAGTTGAAGGCCATGCCCCCATGACCGTTGCAGAAAGGACTTCATCTCTGTGCTTGGGGCAAGCACTGTCTACTCCCTACTGCAGAGGCCGCAGTTGGAATTCGCGAGTCAAAGGCAGGGCCAGGCTTGCCCCAGAGGCTTGTCGGGGGGAGGGTGGTCTGGGGGCCCACACCTTCCAGGCTTGGAACTGAAGCACCACACCATTGTCCTCCGGCCTCTCTCCCTTTTACAAGGATGCCACTCAGATGGGTTAAGGAGCCCTGGTGGCATGTGAGGTAATCGTTGGACTGCTAATCTCCAGGTTGGCGGTTCAAATCTACCAGCCGCTCCTAGGGAGAACGATGAGGCTCCTGTAAAGATGTCCAGTTCTGGGAAGCCTGTACGGGTCACTGGAGACCCTGCTGGCTCCGTGGTTAAGCGCTGGACTGGGCACCAAGGGTCAGCAGTCGGAGACTACCAGCTGCTCCATGGGAGAGAGACAGGCTTTCTGCTCCTGGACAGAGGCACAGTCGCTGAGACCACCTCGGCCCTTCTACCCTGCGCTGTCCGGTCTCTGTTCGTTCCCTTCGAGGGCGGTTTGGGTTTGAATCTGTGGGCGCTCAGCCAGGGTCAGGATCCACCCACTCCTGCATCACGTGCCCCTGGTGGATGCCTTCCCAAACAAAACCTTGTTCTCAGGCTCCAGTCTCTCTTGGGAGAGGGCACAATCCAACCCTCACGGGTTCTTGTAGGAACACTGAGGAATTGGGACCCCAGAAATCCTTCTGGAAGACTCTCCGAGCAGGGGCATGCTGGGTGGGGGTGGGTGGGGGGCGTGGGCGCTGCCCAGGCTGCAGCTTAGTGTTTACTCTTCCTCTCCTCCCTCAGACCCTCCCCCTGCTCCTCCCTGGACTTCCGTCCTCTGACTGGGCGGCCTGCAGAACCTCCTCCCGCCCCTCGGCTCTGGGAGTGTGGCCAGCAGGCGGGGGCGAGGACTGGCCCAGTGGTGGGGGAGGGGCTTCCTGCAGCGTGTCTGCCGGCAGCTGGAGGCCCGAGGAGGCTGGAGAGGGACTGCAGTCCTGGAGAAGGCCTGCTCTTGGGACCCTGCCTGGACGTGGGTGCACTGCCCGGAGTCCATCACAGAGCCCGGAGGTAGGAGCGAGGGATGTGCTGGGAGTTCCTGGAACACTCCAGAGCTCGCATGGCCAGGGTCAGAGCCCTACTCCCCAGATGGAGAAACTGAGGCTGGGGACGACGGGCAGGCGGGCAATGCGAACCCCTCCTGTCATCCTTGGCCGTCCCCTGCCCACTCCCTCCCTCCAGGACAGTGGGGCGGGCGTAGGCTGTCGCCCACCATCTCTCCGGGACCAGAGTGGGCAGTATCCAGCCGGCCAGTGACAGCGCCCCACACCTGAGTCCAAAGTCCAGACGGCCACTCTGTCAGAGCCAATGTTGGCTCTGTGCTCAGGGCAGGGGCCAGGGGCTGGCGCTGCCCAGGGGCAGGGATACTGCCGTGCCCCTGCCCGTTAGCTACCCTATCCAGAGCGCTAAGCAGGCCAGGGTCTGAGGACGGGGACTGGCTGCCCTCATCCTTGCCCCCTCTCTGCCTCTCCACGGCTCCCCTGGGGAGCCTCATGCTGGGGGCCAGCTAGCCCCTCCCCAGCCACCTGTTGGATGGAAAGGCTGTTTGTCCCTCACTGGGATCTGTAGTGACCCGTCTCACTGAGAAAAGACATGTGGCAGCCAGCTGGACAGATTGATCGGCGACTCGGGGACTCTCCGTGTCAGGGCCCCACCCTCCAGGCTGTGCCTCCCCAGGAGTGAAGGGCGGAAGTGCATGGGGCGCAGACAGGGACGCAGGGCTCAGGGCCAAGCCCACTGTGGTCTCCCCGCAGGCTGAGCTGTCCCCATCAGCGGGTGGAGATAGGCTCTAGAGGGGGCTGCCATAGGGCTGAGCAGGGGTCGGGGCAGCCAGGTGAGGGTGGAACCGGGGTCAGGAGGGCAGGACGGAGGCCACTCAGCCCTCGAGGGCAGCTGGGCTCACTGGACACGCACAGGCGTGCTCCGGTCTTGATTCTCCAGCACAGCGCCCAGCGGGCATGCAGCCTGTGCCCACACTTGCTGCCCCGTGCACCAGCAGCTGCAGGCAGCCGGGGCCCTGGGCCCCCACAGCCCCTGCTGTGCCCGTTGGAGAGATAAGGTGACTGGGGGTGTGCCGGAGGGGGTGCGCGGCTGGCATGGGAGATGACTTGTACTGGTCACCCAGCTGTTAACGGCATTCAGGGCCCTGCTGGCCCCTCCCCACTGTGGGCGGGACACAAGGTCGTTGGCAGCTGGGAAGTGGGGCAGGCTGGACTCCCCTCCCTTCTGGGGGGATGGAGGTAGGCCTCACAAGGTGGGCACTGTCCGGGTCTGCCCGTGGATGAGGCTGATCCCTTCCTGGGATTCGAGGGGCTGACTGCCAGGACCCCCACTGCTTGCAGGCCCTGTGGACTGAGTAACACAGCGAGGGGCACTATGGGGTGGGTGTGAGGTGGGGGTAGGGTAGGGACCTCACACACCCTCCAGGGGGCACCTCCTGACCCTCTTCCTGGGGAAGGACCTGCCAGGGCCCCTCACCATCCTTCCTACCCCACCTGCTCTGAAGCCCAGAAGTCCAGCCTCTGGTCAAGGACCACCCCTCAGTCTGTGCCCTCAGATGCCCTCCTCCCTGGGCCTGGGGCCCGGAGCTGCAGAAGCAGGATAGAGGTTCAGGTTGGAGCAGCTGCTTGGGAAGGGGGAAGGGAGAGGGCATGGAGGCCAGGGCCAGCCCCCGCCCCCAGCCCGCCCCTGGGAGTGCCCGGACTGGCAGGGGCG